GTGTTTCAGTATTTTAGTATTTCAGTATTTATTTATTTATATAAAAAAATATTTATTAATTGATATAAAAATAGTTTTTGTAAAAATAGCTTCTATAAAACTTTAAAAATTACCTAATAAAATCAATCCCATTCTATATAAAACTCTTATTTTTAGTTATTTTTTAGGATAATTATAGTTTCTATAAAATTCTAAAAATTACCTAATAAAATCAATCACATTCTATATAAAACTCTTATTTTTAGTTATTTTTTATAGATAATTATCACAATATAACCGGCTCGGCCCAATTATAATTATGTTATTATCAGAAAAGGACACATGTCATCATCCTATTCATCCAAGAAGCCTATAAATAGAGGCATGGAGGAAAGAGGAAGGGGTACAGAAATTGAGAATTCTAGAAAATCAGAATTCTTCAGAGTAAAATACAAAAGCTCTGTCAAGAGTTTTCAGTATTTATTTATTTATATAAAAAAATATTTATTAATTGATATAAAAAAGAGTTTTTATCTATATTATTATTAGATGTGTAAAGAGTTTCATTATTTATTTATATAAAAAAAATATTTATTAAATGATATGAAAAGAGTTTTTACTAAAACAAAAAAAAAAAAAAAAAAAAAAAAAATCTATAAAACAGTAAAATCTACATAATAAAATTTAAATTAACCTATTTATCTATTTATTATTATCCATTTTTAATAAAAGAAAATCTAATTAGACAAGATTTATTAATATAAAAAATATTTATTAATTGATATATAAAATAAAATAATTTTTATAAAATTCTACCACAAATTAGCTTTTATTATGAGTATCTTAATAAAATTAAAACTAATTAGACAAGTATATATTTAAAGAAAATAAAAGAATTTCAATAAAACTCTATTACAAATTACCTATTTTATTATCAATAAAACCCTATCAACAAAGATATAATTAAAGAGTTTGTATAAAACTCTAACACAAATTACCAATTTATCAATTTAACATGAGTTTTTTAATAAAAGGAAACCTAATTAGACAAGTATTATTAATATAAAAAATTATTTATTAACTGATACAAAAGGAGGTTTTTAAAGAGTTTTTAAAACACAAATTACATATTTATCTATTTATTTTGAGTTTTTTTTTAATTAAAAGTAAATCTAATTAGACAAGAATTATTAAATAAAAAATATATATTAATTGATATAAAAAGATTTTTTTAAAAAGTTTGTATTAAACTCCAAAACAAATTACTTATTTATTTATTTATTACAAGTTTTTTAATAAAAGAAAATCTAATTTACCTAATAAAACCAATCACATTCTATATAAAACTCTTATTTTTAGTTTTTTTATGGATAATTATAATTTTATAAAAATCTAAAAATTACCTAATAAAATCAATCATATTCTATATAAAACTTTTATTTTTAGTTATTTTTTATGAATAATTATCACAATATAACCGGCCAAGCCCAGTTATGATTATGTCATTATCAGAAAAGGACACATGTCATTATCCTATTCATCCAAGAATTCAAGAAGCCTATAAATAGAGGCATGGAGGAAGGAGAAACGGGTACAAAAATTGAGAATTCTAGAAATTTCAGAATAAAATACAGAAGTTCTGTCAAAGAGTTTCAGTATTTATTTATTTATATAAAAAAATAATTATTAATTGATATAAAAAGAGTTGAATTTCAGAGAAAAATACAGAAGTTTTGTCAAAGAGTTTGAGTATTTCAATATTTATTTATTTATATATAAAAATATTTATTAATTGATATAAAAAGAGTTTTTATCTATACTATTACTAGATGTGTAAAAAGTTTCAGTATTTATTTATTTATGTAAAAAAATATTTATTAAATGATATGATAAAACCCTAAAATCTACGTAATAAAATTTAAATTAACCTATTTATCTATTTATTATTATCAATTTTTTAATAAAATAAATCTAATTAGACAAGAATTATTAATATAAAAAATATTTATCAATTGATATATAAAAGAAAATAATTTTTATATAACTCTACTATGAGTTTCTTAATAAAATTAAATCTCATTAGACAAGTATATATTTAAAGAAAATAAAATAATTTCTATAAAACTCTATTACAAATTACCTATTTTATTTTCCATAAAACTCTATCAACAGAGTTTCTATAAAACTCTAACACAAATTACCTGTTTATCTATTTATTATGAGTTTTTAAATAAAAAATAACCTAATTAAACAAGTATTATTAATATAAAAAATTATTTATTAACTGATACAAAAAGAAGTTTTAAAAGAGTTTTTAAAAAACTCTAACACAAACTACCTACTTATCTATTTATTATTAGTTTTTTAATGAAACTAAATGTAATTAGACAATAATTATTAAAATAAAAATATTTATTAATTGATATAAAAAGAGTTTTTAAAAGAGTTTATATTAAACTCTAAAACAAATTACCTATTTATTTATTATAAGTTTTTTAATAAAAGAAAATCTAAGTAAACAAGAATTATTAGTATAAAAAATATTTTTAATTGATATAAAAAAATAAAATAATTTTTCTAAAATTCTACCACAAATTACCTTTTATTATGAATTTTTTTTTTTTAATAAAAGCTAATCTAATTAGATAGGAATTATTCAAATATATAAATATTTATTAATTCACGTAAAAAGAGTTTAAAAATATTTTTTATAATACTCTAACACGTATTACAAATTACAATTTTTTAATAAAAGAAAATCTAATTTTCAGAGTAAAATACAGAAGTTCTACCAAAGTGTTTCAATATTTATTTAATTATATAAAAAAATATTTATTAACTAATATAAAAAAAGATTTTATCTATACTACTATTAAATGTGCAAAGAGTTTCAGTATTTAAGTATCTATTTATAAAAATATATATTTATTAATTGATATGAAAAGTATTTTTTTTAAAATAAAAAAAAAAAGAAAAAGAAAAAAGAAAACTCTATCAAACTCCAAAATCTATCTAATAAAATTTAAATTAACTTATTTATCTATTTATTATTGTGAATTTTTAATAAAAGGAAATTGAATTAGACAAGAATTAATAGTATAAAAAATACTTATTAATTGATATATAAAATAAAATAATTTTTCTAAAACTCTTATGAAATATGAGTTTATTAATAAAATTAAATTAAATTAGATAAGGATATATTTAAAGAAAATAAAATATTAAATGTGCAAAGAGTTTCAGTATTTCAGTATTTATTTATTTATATAAAAAATATTTATTAATTGATATGAAAAGAGTTTTTATAAAAAAAAATAAATAAAAGAAAAAAAAAAACTCTATAAAGTTCTAAAATCTACATAATAAAATTCAAATTCACCTATTAATTTATTTATTATTATGAATTTTTTCATAAAAGTAAATCTAAAGTTTCAGTATTTATTTATTTATTTAAAAAATATTTATTAAATGTGGAAAAGTTTCAGTATTTTCATATTTATTTGTTTATATAAAAAAAAATATTTATTTTTTGATATGAAAAGAGTTTTTATAGAAAAAAACTTTTATAAAACTCTAAAATCTACCTAATAAAATTCAAATTAACCTATTTATTATTATGAATTTTTTAATAAAGAAAACCTAATTTTCTGAATAAAATACAGAAGTTGTGCCAAGTTGTTTAAGTATTTATTTATTTATATAACAAAATATTTATTAATTGATATAAAAAAGTTTTTATCTATAGTATTATTAAATGTGTAAAGAGTTTCAGTATTTGACTATCTATTTTTATAAAAAAAAAATATTTATTAATTGATATGCAAAGAGTTTTAATAAATAAATAAATAAAAATGTCAATCAAACACTAAAATCTATCTAATAAAATTTAAGTTAATCTATTTATCTATTTATTATTATGAATTTTTTAATAAAAGAAAATCTAATTAGACTAGAATTATTAATATAAAAAATATTTATTAATTGATATATAAAATAAAATAATTTTTTTAAAGCTCTACTACAAATTAACTTTTATTATGAGTTTCTTAATAAAATTAAATCTAATTAAACATTGGTATATTTAAAGAAAATAAAATAATTTTTATAAAACTCTATCAAAAATCACAAATTTTATTTTCAATAAAACTCTATTACAGTAGACAAAGATATAATATTTAAAGAGTTTCTATAAAATTTTAACTCAAATTTTCTATTTATATATTTATTAGTTGTTTTTTAATAAAAAGGAAATCTAATTAGACAAGTATTATTAATATAAACAATTATTTTTTAATTGATCTAAAAAGAGTTTTTAAAAGAGTTTTTATAAAACTATATCACAAATTACCTATTTATCTATTTATTATGAATTTTTTTAATAAAAGAAAATCTAATTAGACAAGTATTATTAAGATAAAAAAATATTTATTAATTAATATAAAAGGAGGTTTGAAAAGAGTTTTTATAAAACTCTAACTCAAATTACCTATTTATTATGAGTTTTTTTTAATAAAAGTAAATCTAATTAGACAATAATTATTAATATAAAAAAATATTTATTAATTGATATAAAAAGTGTTTTTTAAAGAATTTCTATTAAACCTATTTATTTATTTATTATAAATAGATTTTCAGAAAATATAATAATTTCTATAAAACTCTACCAAATTATCTATTTTATTTTCTTTAAAACTCTATCGCATATAACTTGTTTTTATCTATTTATTGTGAGTTTTAAATAATTTTTATAAAACACTAATACAAATTACTAAAACTTTACTACAAATTAAATATTTACCACGTGCATCGCACGCCGTCTTTCCTAATATATATATATATATATATACGTACGTACGTGGGCTCTATATGTATGTACGTACGTGGGCTCTGAACTTGCCCTCCCCCAATTGCAAACTACAAGAATCAGACCCCCCCCCCCCCCCCCCCAAATTGCAAACTACAAGAATCAGAAGTTTCAAAACCCATATATTTTAGTTTATCTATCTGCTGCAAGAATCAAAAGTTCAAAACCCATATCGGCATCCACAATCACCCTTTGTAAACAACACCATTAGCAGACCCAAGATCCAATTGCAAAAAAAAAAAAAAAACGGTGCAACAAGTGTAGTTGCAGGTTCTATTTGGGAGAGCATAATGAAAATTGATGAAGTCGAAGGAGGTATCTAAGTCTTCAACCCAAAATCTGAATCTTGTGAGGAGGTTGTATCGGCAGCAACAAGATCGGACCTCATGGCGGTGAACGTATCAGCAACAAGATCGACGGCGAAAGATACCGGTCATCTCTAAAACCTCTCCACGCCCATGCAAGAATGAAATCGTGGCCAAGCTTGATATATATATATATATATATATGCAGACCACCGTCGCCATCATTTAGATGCTCCATCGACGGCGAAACCACCATTAAAGCCGGCGAAAACAAACAGAAAGCTCCAAACTACAACAAACAACAAACAGTTCAAGCAAATGAGACCCACTTCGGTGATCATCCAGCGAGCTACACTTCCATGCATGTGTATTTAGTGAGCTTCAAAGCAGCAACTGAACGCCGGTGAACTCCATAACCAATGACGAGCTCCACGACTCACATGCTCTGATGAAGATGATAAATCATTGAGCTTCGGTGTACTGGTCCCATGACCTGCATGCAAAAAGCCAGTGACACACGGCGTGTTTCAGTCACTGCTCCTGTGAGCTGTACACCGGTATGCTTCATGTCCCTAGACGGCAATATGGAACAAGCTCACGAGACCCACTTGTATGACAAACCGCAAAGCTCAAAACTGATTCTGGCGAGTGAGCCATGACGTTGGCGACGACTGAATTAAGAGCAACCCAATTTCAGTTCGGCAACGTCCCAAGAGAACTCAACCCACTTCGGCAACATCGCTGAACCAACGGGAAAACACACATACTCCGACAAGCTTTCAAGCAACTGTGTTGGTTACGGTGACTGTGCTTAAGTCGCAAGCATCGGCAGTGATGGTGACTGTGCTTGAGTCGCAAGCATCGGCAGTGATGGTGTCTCCATCTCGTCATCTCTCTTTCCGGGGCCGGGAGTAAGAAAAAAGACATCTAGAGGCGGGCAGATGCTCGCCGGACTGAACTGGGTTTGGTCGAAGAGGACGGTGGAGTTACGGCAAGAGTTAGCGTCGTAGGAGTCGTCGTCGTCGGAGCTTCCTGTCGTGTTGTCTCCAGTATTCATCAAAATGCTGATGTCGTCGGAGCTTCCTCTCTTAAACTGTTGAAATGCAGCAAATCACCCTCCACACGGACCTGTGACATAAATGAATAGTTGATTGCATGAGTGCTAGTTGCGAGTGATGGTGGTGGTAGTTGTGTGGTACTAGGCTGTTTTGGTATTTTTAACATTAGGCGGTGGTGGAGATGGCAGTAATGAGGGTAATGGTTCATAAGCTGATGGGCTAAAGGAGAAAGATAAGGTTGTGGAGGCAATGGATTTGGTTGCATACTTGCACATTTTGGGGTATGCTATAGAAGGATTGTGTTAATGGTGATAGAAGCTTTAATAGTTACATGTTGTGGTGGCTGCAGTTTCCTATACGATCTTTCTACAATATTCCTAAGCAGTTAAATTATGGACTAAGTCTTTTGTGCATTGTCAAGTGAGTTATGGGCACATCTTTAATCCCTTAATAACATAGAGATTATTTGTATCTATGTTCACTTTTTTTTTTTTTGTACTAACCAAAGAAATCTTATTTATAATTATTAATCCGGGGAATCAGATGTTTGTCAAAAATTGTGGTAACAGTTCAGTAAATTGTATCCGTGAATGTAAAGATCATCAGTTTTCTGTAATGATGGGTAGGTCATGAGGCATCATTCTTACTTGATAAAGAAAATGGTCGTCAAGTACTTTGATTTTGATTTAGTGCTTTCTCTTTAATTCAATAATCTATTATTAAAGGGCAAAAGATAAAATAAAGTGTTCAGAGGCATTGATCTGATCTCATGTAATAGGAATCCACTTGCTGAACTTGGTAGTCTTAAGTCGCGATATTTAACCCTTCTTATTGTTTATGTTGCACATTTTTCACATAATGAAATTTTACCACTCAAATTGATCAAGTGTCCAGCACACCAGCTACCAATTTGAAAAACAGCGAAGGGAATAGACCATAATGCTGTAGTTTTGGTTAGGACACATTCAATGGTTGAACACAATTGTCCTAGACACATCAAAAATGTCAGGCTTTGTTAAAAAGTGCCTGAGGGTCTTTTATGCACAAATGATAAGGGGTAAAATGGGAAACAAAAAGGATAAAATGGGATTTTCAATTTTACTTTTTGTAAAAACTTGTCAGTTATGCACTTTTTTGAAATTTTGTAAATTTGCATACACATTTTAAAAAAGTATGAACTAATTTTGCACAAAGTCTATGCATCATGATTTTTTTCACTCAACCCTTGTGGATCCTTATTATCCAACTTTGCAACAACCCCGCATTTGTTCTTTTCCACGCTAAGGAATCTATTATTGGGATATGATGTCGTGGCAAAAATAAAACCAAGCAAACCTTGATTCTCAATAGGATGCAGCATCAGCCTTTTCCAATCAGGATAGTTGCTACCGGAAAGCTTCAAGGGAACAAAGTCACCCACGTTCACCTCTATTGGGTATTAAATCAATTAATACGTACCCTGCAATTTTAAATTAAAAAGAGGAAGAGTTTAAGAAATATTATATTAAGTTGCTGATGGAATTAAGGTTAGAATATTAAGTCAATTAATACGTACCCTTACTAGTTTCATGCAGGATGTATAATTAACCTTTCCCGTATATCTTTTGATGTTTCAAGCAGTATGTACCAAGTCTCGCCGGATATCTACATTGATAGATTGTTTCCTTGATCCATCTTTGCAACTTCTCGTCTGATTTTCTCCATTCATCGTTGCTGTTGTTGTCGTTAGAAAGTGTTGGCCTTGAAGCCTCACCATTGATGAAACCAAGCATGCCATGACTCTCAACAAAATGAAGCATCAGCGTTTTCCAACTAGAGTAGTTATCGGTACTACAAGAGAGCTTGATGGGAACAATGTCCGTGACATTGATATCTGTTGGGTACTCTGCAAATTAAAAAGAGAGGAAGAGTTTGAGAATTAATTTAACCAATTTATCATGTAAGCTAGCTACCTAAGTTGAAATACGCACTATATATATATATATATATATATATATTAAAACATCCAAATAATTAAGTGATAAGCAACTATATATTAACTTACCCATTTTTCTTTCACCCAGGATAACCAATTGTGACCACATATCTTTATTGATGGTTTCCTTTATCCATATTTGCAATAGCTCACTGAATCTTTTCCAATCCTGTTCTCCATCTCCTTCGTGCGAAAGTAGAAGCTATCGTTATCATCATCTGGTACTCTGATCGTTGCAAGTGGTGCTGAAACCTCACCACTTATGAAACCAAACATGCCTCGATTCTCAATAATTCCAAGCATCAATGACTTCTACCTAAAATAGTTATCTAATTTAGAGAGATTGATTTGAACAAAGTCCCTCACGTTGAGATCCGCTGGGTATGGGGTCTCTGCACAAATAAGATAAGTTCGAGAAAAATTAATCAATTAATGATGGATATGCTAGGTTGAAGTACTCATACTTATTTGTAAATTAATTAAACATATATGTATGTAATTATTCACATAATTAATTAAGTCACGACCATACATACCTATTTTTGTTTCATGCAGGGTAATTAACTTTGACCACATATCTTGGGCAGTTTTCAAGCACACCACATGCGGAAGAACATCTTCACTAATCCTCTCTCTTATCCATCTTTGTAACAATGCGTCCGGTCTTTTCCAGTCCTCGATCTCCTTTTTGCCCTTTGATCTTTTCCGGTGGTGCCAAAACTTCGCTATTGATGAAACCAACCAAACCTTGCCTCTCAATAAGACGAAGCATACACAAAGTAGTTTTGTTTAGAGTGGATGAAATCAACATAATACCTCACGTTAACATCTACTGGATATGGGTACTTATTGGAAGGCAACGACGGGGAGTCTTTGAAAGTTTAAGAGACGGATCTCTCACACGTTGAATTAGCTAGGGGTACTAGATCTTGAATATAGAGTTTATCCCTCTCTAAATTGCTATACACACACACACACACACACACACATATATATATATATGGAGTGTATCTCACACTACTTAGTTACATGAAATAAACAAAGATCAGTCCCATTGACGATTGATCGTTTGTGAAACCAATTAGCATCACCAAAGGAAGAAAGGGATGGGTTTGGGAAAGATTGCGCAATATAATGGATGATCAAAATGAGTTTTGCACCTAATCAATTATTTTTGCTCCTGTGTACTGCCTCTCGTGCTTTATTTTAGCATCCATTGAATCATCCATCGAATAACAATGAGAAAAAAATGATAGTAGTGTTATACATTACGAACTTTATTCTACATATTCATGACAAAAATTTATTATAGGTTCTCTTATGGCACCAAGTAAAGTTTGTTTTTTTAAAATAAAGAATACTAGCTATATTAGCATCTTCATTTGATTTAATGAAGTTGGGATCCCTTATCTTGTTCATAAGGGATCTTAAGTACATCAATTACTTCAAAATTTTGTAAAAATTGGTGAGGCTGTAATCTAGTAACTCTTCTTAATTTCAATCTATATTGTCTATATTACCATGTTGAAGTTAAAATAGTCACACAAAGAATATATATATATATATATATATAAAGGTTTATAATGAGTGTCTCGCTAAAGATTTGATGAAGAGTATTATATTTCTCCAAAATTACTTATGATTGAGAACTTCAGTTTTATTTTTGTGAAAATGATTCTAAAATTAAAAAAGTGCAAGGCAAAATGAATGGGACATGTAATGCCTAGATTTTTCTGAATTTTATTTCAATTATTTTTTCCTGCCTCGTTTTGCATGGCACGCGAATTTCGAGGGTCATTTACGTCTTTTTCTTGAACGGAAAGTTTTAGAAATGTGTTTTTATTTGTTTTAAGCCAATTAGATGTAACGGGGTTAATTTTAGAATTTTTTTCGAAAGTCGGGACGATTTCCTGGCTAAGACCCTTACTCGGTATTGTCGTTTTTATAGAGGGGCATTATAGACATTTCCAAAATATATACATATACATGTATTTAACTATTAGAGAAGATATTTATGGGATAAATGTGGTATTGCATGGTTTAAGAAAGGACATGTTGGTAACTTACATAAAAGTAGAATCACACAAATGGTGACAAGTGACAAGCTAGGGACCACAAGCCAAAGGGTTGACCAACCCATTTCTTTCTACCTCCTTCTCGGCTGAACATCTATCTCTCTCTCTCTCTCTCTAAACTTTCATTTCTCTTTCTATATCTATATTTATCTACACATTTACTTCAATCTTTGAGAGGTTTAGAGTGGGATTTGAGAGGAGACTAAGAAGGAAGATTTACTCTACGTGACGAGGGATATCATTTGACATCACACTTGGGGCACTAGGAGGATTTCGAAATTTGGGAGCTAGCTAGGGTTTGTTTGGCTAAGCATTTGAGGTTGGGGTTTTCCTAAGTCATTAAGCTTTGTCTTCTATTTTAGAACTACTACCATGCTCTTCCTTTAATCCCATGTTTAATGTTATATTCTGATGTTGATGCTAGTTGAAAGATGATGATGTATTTAAATGATCTAAGAATGTTAATGATCTAAGAATGTTTATGTGTGATAAATGTGATGCCTTTTGTGCTAAATTCTAAATATTAACATGGTTGTAAAATGTAAAAGACATAATAAGCATGCTTGTAGTTATATTATGGGAAGTGTTATGCTTGTTTCATCGTGTTGAACATGACTTGTCTACAATTGGTTCAATGATAATTTGTTATACTTGTAGTTAATCAATTTAAAATGTCATGCTTGCACCATTATTGCTATGTTGACGACATTGAAGCTAAGAGGGTAAAATTGATGCATATGCATGGCATGGGAAAAAAAGAAGAATAAGAAAGAGGTATTCAAAATGATTTTATAAAATGGGACCGCATTTCGTGAGTCTGGTGCTAACTCGACTTAGAGGTAGTGCGTGCTATTTAGGATGTGAAAAAGTTGATACTAGGCCACAAATGATTGTCGGATTTGGAACCAGGGATAGTTATCAATCTCGCATCGGTAAAGTTGGTTAGCGGCTTTCAAAGTGTGAGTTAGGGTCGGTGGAGACCAAGCATAGGGACATGGTGCATTGCATTTCATATTATGCATGGTTTTGTTGAAATGTATTATGTGGTTGATGGAAATGCTATTTTATGTTATAAATATGATATGGATCCCCAACGTATGATCCTGGTTTCCTCTTTATCCCCATTATGTGTTTCGTGGCTCAAGGGAGTCCAAAGTTGATACTTTAGGCAACTTCTACTGGGCCTCTGTGCTCACCGCTTCCTTTATTATTTTTTAGGTCATGACAAGTAGGCACTCGACGATATTCCTCCACATGTGTAATCAGTGTTGAAGATTCCATTATTTTTATAAAATTAGCAATCGTGTATGATGAAGAGTGACTAATCTTTTGGATAAATTTTGATGTATTTGAGAATGTAATTAAATTTAATCTTACTGAATCCTCTAGTTGTGTATTTTATAGAACGTGTTTGTGGATTATCCTAAAATCATGTAAGAGAAAGTGTAATTATTGTTGATAAAAAATGTATCATATACTATAGTATAATTTATTTAAATATTATTTGTAAATATAATATTTATTATAATAATCTATATATATTTATATAGTTTAATATCAAGAAAATAAAACTATAAAAGAACCTAATAAAGTCGATGCTAGAATTTAATTCTATAACCTTAAGACAGATACGCCTCGCTACGGTGCTAACGGACTCTTCGGCGTCTATCTCCCAGGATACAACGACTTTTCTTCCTTTGGTAGTAGCACTTCAAACCAATGGAATAGGCGAACCGGCTCGGTGAAGTACTCTCAGACTCGGATTTGGACTCGAAGTGAGTGACTAAGGTTCGAACCCAATTAGTTAGGGTTGAACCCAAACAGAATCCCTAAGGTTTGAACCCAATTGGTTAGGGTCGAACCCAAACAGATTATGAAAGAAAAAGAGGGAGAAGTAAATTCAGAAGAGAAAAGATTTTGTTCTGAATTTGGTGTGTATTGAAATGAATCCAAGGAGGGCTATTTATAGGCTTAATGGTGCCTATTCCAAATGGGTGCACCCATATTCCGAATGGATGCAACCATTGTGGACCAATGAGACATTAGAAAGCCAAAACTGATTTAGGTTCAAAAGGTGCAACCCTTGGTTCAAACAAAAACTGTTTTATGGTTTTTAATTTGAATTTAAACCCAAAACAGATTAATCTGATCCAGCCCAGCAAGCAAACTTCGGCCATTAATTCCCAGCCTAGCGTGCTTCACCCGCAAGCCCACTTAAATAAGTCCAGTAGACAAATAAAATAAATTTCAACCACACAGGCCCAGTCCAACTTTGTGTAAAAAGGTTAGACCCATTTTACAATTAAGCCCCGCCCCGCCCAAGCCTGGACCGGACCGGGTCGGGTCGGGTCGGGCGAGCGGCGCGCGCATGTGTGGTAGTTGGTTCGGATCCAAGCTAGCCTAGGTCCTCCCCCTCTTAAAAACTTGGGTGCCCTTGGGCCAAAACCCAAATCCCATACTAGACATATATATACTCAAGGTTGCTTTGCTACTTTTTCGATGTGGGACAAGCATTTCCCACTTTATTCACACCCATTTAGGCTTTATAAATCACTTACTTTGGAGCCAATTTCTCATTCACCCGAAAACGGATTTGAGAAAATGAATATACCACGTTCATCTCCTCGCAGAGAGGAGCGCGCTCGTCAATAGATTCGCAAAAAATTCTTAGCGGAATCTATTTAAAAATCCTTCCAAAGTTTGCGTTTTCTAATGCCGTTTCCAACAATCCCCCACATGAATGAAAATTTGCGCATATTACAAAAGGAGAAGATACAGACACTATAGAGAATACTATTGGAAAGTTACTGCATCGGGATAGGTAACTTTTGGCCTTGAACCTTCCCTAGTGTATTACTATCGGATTTACTGGCTAACCAGTGAACATGATGTCTTGAACTGTTCAGCCGTTGATGTAAACCAAGACAATAGCAAACACACAATTCCTTCCCACACAAAGTCGGTTCTCACGGTTGTGTTCATATGGCCCTGAACAACGCCTGGTATTTCATGAGCGCTCCAGAAAACTTAGCCTTAAAAGTTCTCATAGAAGCGGCCCCACTTCGCACTCATATAGGTGACTTCTTATTAAGAGTATCCTACCATACCCCACTTGAATTTTCAAGGTATAAGAGTCATTAAAAACATAGCTTATCCTACTGATCGCTGTAGGTAACACTGTCTCATCATAGAAATGGGTAGAAGATTGAATCTTCCCAGTGCTTCTGGTGAGCCATTCAGAATTTCTGTTGTCCCTTTGAACCTAGATCTTGGGATCTCCAGTCAACTAGGTTGGGTTTCCATTAAGATGACTCGTTAGCTTTCGGCTTTAATCCCATTCCCCTCGATGAACTATACACTTGCTCTCTTGTCAAACCTTTTGTAAACGGATCCGCTAAATTATCTTTTGACCTGATATAATCTATTGAGATTATTCCACTTGAGAGCAATTGTCTAACGGTATTATGTCGTCGACGTATATGTCGAGACTTACCGTTGTACATATTACTTTGTGCCCTTCCAATTGCTGATTGACTATCACAATGTATACATATAGCGGGCACCGGTTTAGGCCAATTTGGAATATCTTCTAAGAAATTACGAAGCCACTCAGCTTCTTCACCTGCTTTATCCAAAGCAATAAATTCAGATTCCATAGTGGATCTAGCAATACAAGTTTGTTTTGAAGATTTCCAAGATATGGCACCTCCTCCAATAGTAAAGACATAGCCACTTGTGGATTTAGAATCCTTTGTATCTGATATCCAATTAGCATCACTGTATCCTTCAAGTACTGCTGGATATCTAGAATAATGTAATCCATAACTTATAGTATATTTTAAATACCTTAGAACCCTAATTATTGCAGTCCAATGGTTCTTTCCTGGATTACTAGTATATCTACTCAATTTATTAACTGAGTATGCTATGTCTGGTCGTGTGCAATTCGTCAAATACATTAAGCTTCCTATAATGCGAGAATACTCAAGTTGTGATATGCTAGGACCAGTATTTTTCGATAAATGAAGATTTACATCAACAGGAGTCTTTACAAGACTACTATCCTTTTTATTAAACTTTTCTAATATTTTCTCAATATAGTGAGATTGAGATAATAGTAGACCATCTGATGTTCTAGAAATCTTAATTCCTAGTATGACATCAGCTATGCCTAAATC